AGGGCTATCGCCACTCGCTTCTCAACTGTGAGGGCTGCTCTCATCCTGGTATTCTGGTGCTTCAGGGCAGGGGAAAGCAAGTCACAAAGTTCCATGAAAGTGCCCTTACGCATGCGAAAGTTTCGCAGCCACTGGGAATCGTCCCACACCTGCAGCACGATGCGGTCCCACCAGTCTGTGCTTGTTTCCCGGGCCCAGAATCGGCGTTCCACGGCATCAACCTGCCCCAGGAACACCATGATTTCCACATTGCTGGGGCCTGTGCCTTGTGAGAGGTCTAGGTCCATGTCCATTTCCTCATCACTCTCGTCGCCGCGCTGCAATCGCCTCCTCCTCGGCTGGTCCTGGTTTTGCTTTGGCATGTCCTGGCTCTGCATATACTCCAGGACAATGCGCGTGGTGTTCATAGTGCTCATAATTGCCGCAGTGATCTGAGCGGGCTCCATGATCCCAGTGCTAGCTATGGCGTCTGGTCTGAAAAAAGGCGTGAAACTAATATCTGACGGACCAGGGGAAGGAGGGAGGGAGGGGAGGGAGGGGCGAGTGACAACACGGCGTACAGGTACAGGGAATTAAAATCAAGAAAGGTGGCTGTGCATCAGGGAGAGAAACAAACAACTGTCACACAGAATGCCCCCCCCCCCCGAGATTGAACTCCAAAGCCTGGGTTTAGCAGGCCGTTGATTTGACGGAGGGAGGGGGAAAGGAAATGAATACAGAACAAATCTATTTTTTACATCTTAAGACGACGGTGCAGCATGACTGATAGCCCTCGGCATTTTCTGGGTGCTTGGCAGCAAATACTGGGCGCTTGGCAGTTAGCCTTCAGGCCTATTGCACCATCTGATACCCACTGCAGTATGACAACGATGGATACCAGTCATAATATACTATCTACTGCCAAAAGGCAAGGGGTTGCTGCTGTGTAGCAATGTAGCCCCACGTCTGCCAGCCCCATGTCTGCCAGCACCCAGATCGCCCTCGGCCTCTTCTGGGTGCTTAGCAGAAATTACTGGGCGCTTGGCAGAAAATAGCATACTACGACTTAGCTAACGTGCGATGAGCCAACAGGGCGCGTGGCAGAAAATGGCATACTATGACTGATAACCATCATCATCAAGACAGTTCCATAGGTCTGAGCATGTCTACCCAGGTGCCCATGATCAACAGCCACTGCAGTACTATGACGATGGATACCAATCGTAATATACCATCTTCTACCAAAAGGCAAGGGGCTGGTGCAATGCAGCCCTACGGCTGCCAGCACCCAGATCGCCAATGAAGGCTACCAGTCATGCTACATCATCTACCGCCAAAAGGCAGTTAGCTGCTGCTGTTGTGTAGCAATGCAGTTCCACGTCTGCCGGCACCCAGATGACTTATGGTGACAGTGAGCTGAGCTGAGCGGGCTCCATGCTTGCCGTGGTATGTTGTCTGCACAGGTAACCCAGGTAAAAAGGCGCGAATCTATTGTCTGCCGTTGCTCTGACGGAGGGGGAGGGGCCTGACGACATGTACCCAGAACCCCCCGTGGCACTGTTTTGCATCATCCGGGCATTGGGATCTCAACCCAGAATTCCAATGGGCGGCGGAGACTGCGGGAACTGTGGGATAGCTACCCATATTGCAATGCGCCGGAAGTCGACGCTAGCCTCGGTACTGTGGACGCGGTCCGCCGACATTATGCACTTAGAGCATTTTATGTGGGGACACACACAATCAGCTGTATACAACCGATTTCTATAAAACCGGCTTCTATTAATTCGATCTAATGTCGTAGTGTAGACATACCCTCAGTGTGTTTGAACACATTTCTCTCTAAAACTGATTTAAATTTAGAGCCCCTCCCCCCATTTCTGCTTTGTAAGTGCCTCATTCCTGTACATAAAACATAAGAAGAGCCAGACTGGGTCAGACCCATGGTCCATCTAGCCCAGTGTCCTGTCTCCCAAGGGTGGACAATGCCAGATGCTTTAGAGGGAATGAACAAAACAGGTAATTATGAAGTGATCTATCCCCTGTTGCCCATTCGCAGCATCTGTACAGATGTGAACACAAAGAAACATGTGGGGACCACTTGCAGCTACTTAGAATCATAGAAGATTAGGGTTAGAAGAGACCTCAGGAGGTATCTAGTCCAACCCCCTACTCAAAGCAAGACCAACCCCAACTAAATCATCCCAGCCAGGGCTCTGTCAAGCCAGGCCTTAAAAACCTCTGAGGATGGAGATTCCACCACCTCCCTAGGGAACCCATTCTAGTCCTTCACCACCCTCCTAGTGAAACAGTTTTTCCTAATATCCAACCTAGACCTCCCCCACTGCAACTTGAGACCACTGCTCCTTGTTCTGTCATCTGCCACCACTGAGAACAGCCGAGCTCCATCCTCTTTGGAAGCCCCCTTCAGGTAGTTGAAGGCTGCTATCAAAACCCCCCTCACTCTTCTCTTCTGCAGACTAAATAATCCCAGTGCCCTCAGCGTCTCCTCATAAATCATGTGCCCCAGCCCCCACATCATTTTCGTTGCCCTCCGCTGGACTCTCTCCAATTTGCCCACATGCTTTCTGTAGTGGGGAGCCCAAAACTGGATGCAGTACTCCAGATGTGGCCTCATCAGTTCCAATTAGAGGGGAATAATCACTTCCCTCGATCTGCTGGCAACGCTCCTACTAATTCACCCCAATATACCGTTAGCTTTCTTGGCAACAAGGGCACACTGCTGACTCATATCCAGCTTCTCATCCACTGTAATGCCCAGGTCCTTTTCTGCAGAACTGCCCCTTAGCCAGTGGGTCCACAGCCTGTAGCAGTGCACGGGATTCTTCCGTTCTAAGTGCAGGACTCTGCACTTGTCCTTGTTGAACCTCCTCAGATTTCTTTTGGCCCAATCCTCCAATTTGTCTAGGTCACTCTGGACCCAATCCCTCCCCTCCAGTGCTTGGATTCTTTACATGCTTTCACAGAGTGAAGAGCACATCTTCCATGATTTCATAGGGCAGAGTTTTAGGCCTATTTTGATTCAGGGAGCTATGCTATAGGGTGCTTTCCCTGTGTGGATTTGACAGGTGGATCAACATAGATGCATGGATCAACATTGTGACCCTTCTCAGGGTGCTGAAGGCGGTGAGTCTCCTTGTTGCCACCTGCCACTAGGAAGAGGGATTTTTGCATTTGGCAGCTGGATATTAGCAACAAAACTCAGCCAGCCTGTCAGGCACTCAAGCACCCTCCTCTGAGCTACAGCAGCCCTGCCAGTTGACAGAGGCACCCTAATCCCTGAGTTCCTTCAATATGTCCCCCTCTGGGGTCCAGCCCCAATCACCAGATACTCAGTGAAATCCCAGATCCTCTCTTCCCGAAGCAATGGTACATACCAGGTTACCAGTTTTACTGTAGACCACTGCTCCTGTATCACACACAGCACTTGTGTACAGTTATTGAACAAATGGAAATTTATTTCACAAGGGATAGGATTTAAACAGAAACAAATGTGAGTGATGGAAACCAACTGTTACCAACAAAACAAAATCACAAAATGCAACCTACACTTTTTAATAGTTACCTTTCCTATCTAAGTAGATTTTCACCTCACACGTCAGTCTATTGCAATGATTGCTAGTCCCTAGAAGCCAGGGCCCTGCCTTTCATAAAGAACCACTGGTCAGTAGGGATCTCCTTGGTGAATGGACCCAGAGTGTTTTTCTCCACCCTGTTATAAACTGAATCAGTCTTTTCTCTTTATTCACAGAAAGGACAATCTCCTCATTGTGATATTGTCCTTTTCACTTTCACAGGGATTCAATGTCCATAGTTTGTCTTTGATGGTTTTCCATTCGTTTTTCCGGATTGGTGCAAAGATTGACAATTGAGCAATACATCGCATAACTGGTCAGCAAGGGACAGGAGACAATTCCCTCCCACTTGAATGGGCCGTCCCCACCAAGACCTATGATTGGGGTGACTCACTTTCACGACAATACCATAGGGGCATAATTTTCCATGTACTTACATTACTCCTTAAATATGACTCATACACACCTCTTGTAGTGCGTAGGAGTATCAATAATTTACAAGCTTTCAGTAGACATCTCACTGCTACGCTTCCTGGATAAGTATCATAAAATCAGTGTATTAGGTGTGGTGAGTTTGTCAGGTCTGAGACAGGAGTTGCTTGTGAATAACAGTGACCCCTTTGCCAATTGGCACCAATGAACTTTTGTCACACATGCACTGACCTATACTGAGCTATACAGTTACACCCTGATATAATAGAAAGGCCAGCATGAAAAATAGAGAGAAGAACAATAAGATACTAAAATGACAATGGTTGGAATTCTCCATTTCTCTCAGTCTTTGGACTAATGGGTACGAAGAGCTATAGCTACAGTTGAGGAACCAGGGGATCGGACAGCTGGCTCAGCTCTCCATACTAGTAGCTTTCTCACATACAGGGAGATGGGTCAAGATTGGAATTGATGTCATGACTTGCTTCCCATAGGGGATCAATCTGTCTAAGGCTATGTCTACACTTCAAACACTGGAAATATTCTCTGACAATGTAACACTGACTACACTGGGGCTCAGGTCACATTAACTACTTCTCTCAGGGGAGTGGATTTTTCACACCCCTGAGAGATGTGGCTATGTCAACATAGCTTTTCAGCATAGACCAGCCTTTAGATGGCTTTTTGACCTGAAAGGCAATGGACTTCAGCCTTTTCCTTGATATTGATGGTTGATGTCCCAATGTAGGTCCCAACCACTTCTGTGAGTTCATATATCTCTGGCTCTTCTGCCATTTGTGTTGGTGGAAGGGGTCTCCTATGTCGGAATGTTTGCATCATGAGGAAAAATACCTATCTTTTCACACTTTTTAATCTTTCAAAGTAGGAGGAGGTAGAGAAGTGATGTAAATGCATAAAACACAAGAGAAAATTAAGGTCTGGTCTACACTAAAGACATTTATCGGTATAACTATATTGCTCAGGGGTGTGAAAAGTCCACACCACTGAGCAACATAGTTACACAGCCCTAACCCCTTGTGTAGATTAGATAGTGCTACATCAGCAGGAAAGCTTCTCCTGCCACCATAACCACCGCTGCTTGCGGGAGTTGGACTAATCAAGTCCGATGGGAGAAATCTCTCCCATTGGCTTAGAGCATCTGTAATAGCAGTGCTACAGCAGCACAGCTACATTAGCGCAGTTGCCCCAACATCAGCTTTATTGTGTAGCCATAGCGTCAGACACAAAACCATAGAATCAGGACTCAACATGTGTGTATCCGGAAGTTTGAAATTGGAGCCTGACACATTCATTGCCTCATTGGTTACAATCATTTCTACAGCCTGAAAGTCCTTGTTACCCAATCAGGCAGCCAGTTTGGGATTCACAGGGAAGGAATGTCCTATGAAGCACTCTCTCTTTGGATCCAAACGGTGAAGGATGATTGTTCTCAATCTAACCCTGGTATCCTTTGGAACTGTAATCAGTGGCACAGAACTGATAAGTGGAGTTGTATAAACAATTTTCCTTGGGTCATTGGTCACCATAGCTTCCTTTACTGGAGTGGAAACCAAGAACTGAGTGTGTATTCTTTCAACGCCAGTTCTTTCTAAATCCTTGGCCTTGGTTAGGGTAAATTTACACTTCTCTGAAGTAGAATCCTTTACAAAACCACTCAATCTCAGAAGTGGTAGTAAGGAATGGCTTCCAAAATCATGCCCAGTTTTTCTTTAATTTGGTGGCACAGTTCCAGGCAAGGGCCTGGATACAGGCCTGGATCAGAATCTCCATTAGTTACCAGAGCAGTAGTTTCTATTCAAAAATAGCTATTTTTTCTGCAGCTATTAGATTTCCAACACTGATTTCATTTTATACACATTTTTAGCACCTACTAAGGCTAAATTCAACAAAAATCCCACTTCTATTTCCTCAACATCTGCATCATGAAGGGAAGCATTCCTCATACCATAGGATTAGCTAGGAGAGATCTTCTGTAGGGCCTGGGTTACAAATGCTCTGGGTACTGAATACATGGGCATTTCGTGTAGTTCAAAATCACTTACTGTGGAATTCTCTCCCCAGATCATCTGAGACAATATTGACTTCAACAATTGAACTACACAGTGATCATATGAACTTCCTTCAGTTAGTTGGGGTTCTGCTGTTGTTCACCATTTCCGAGTGGAGATTTTAAATCACCACTGTTTCTTTGTTAGCATGTCCAGTAAATTGGAGAGTTCTCTAATGTTGCACTTGAACTTTCTCCATGTCATCATGGAGATATAGGGAAAAAGCAAAGCTGAAGTGAGAAATGACGACTTTAGCAAAGGGTCATTTGTCTTAAATTCTCCAATAAATCTGAGCTACATCCTATCAAACAGAACTAATATCCAATTGGGTGACCAAACAGCCTTGAGGAAAGATCCACACCACAGAGAGATAGAATACATGACAATGAAAGTGTCAAGTGAAATTCCGGAGCAGGTTACATCTGATTATTCAGAATCGGGACAAGAGATTCTCCCATCACATTCTCCTCTGATCCATTCAAACATACTTCACTCAGCACTGTCTCAATAGTCAGTTATGTTATTTACAACATTTTTAGTATCCTAGCATCCAAATAATGGGGGACAAAACAGCCACCTTGCCAGAAGTGGTTTTACCAATAGATGGAACCTGGGATTTAAACTCCAAATGATGACACTGTGTTTGGGATCCATTTGAATTCCCCGTCCAGGTCTTTGACACTTTTAACTCCAGTCATAGCGACTCTGATTTAGGATTAAAGAAGTCAAAGCATCATCTCCAAACAAAGAGAACGGAGAAAGCTTCATCACATGACACTTTGAGAAGTGGATGGATAGAATGTAATGAAGATAAACTCTACATGGCTCAGACAAAAGGTAACAGTTCTGGAGTGATGGGGAAGGAGGGAATCTCTGAGTCACCCCATCTCCTTCCAGTGTCACAGAGGCTGAAAAGACACTTTTTTTCCTGCCCCTGCTCCTCTTCATTTACATATAATTTGAAAAGTTCCCAATATAACTGCTCTTCAGCACAACCCAGAGCAACATGAGAACAACTGGCAATGATACAATCTGTATCACTGGGGACTAACAATAACTTTGCATTTGGAGGAAAGGTATAAGTGTGATGCTCCCTGGCTCCCGATAGGAAGGGAACACTCAAATTACTCATGGGACAATAGAAAGGACAAATAGGTCCACCTCAAAAGAGGGTGAACTGCAAAAGGCAAAAATGGGCCACTCATCTGGACAAGCTGAGGGATAATGGTGCTGCAAATAGTTCAAACAGCTTTAAAAGTTACTATGCGGGAATCAGGAAAAGTATTAAAGAAAAAAAGTATTGATAGCCCTAGAGGTTTTTATGCTGTTGATCTCCCTTGCAGATTCTCTGATGGCTAACATGGGCTAACATGGGCTAAGTGCCAAGAGAAGGTTTTCCCACACTAACTGCATTTGTAGGGCCTCTCCTCTGTGTGGATTCTCTGATGTCTAGAAAGAACTGAGCTGCTAGTGAAGCATTTTCCACACTCACTGCATTCATAGGGCCTCTCCCCTGTGTGGATTACCTGATGTAGAAAAAGACCTGATCTCTGAGTGAAGCTTTTCCCACACTCACTGCATTCATAGGGCCTCTCCCTTGTGTGGATTACCTGATGCCTAATAAGGTGTGATCTCTGAGTGAAGCTTTTCCCACACTCACTGCATTCATAGGTCCTCTCCCCTGTGTGGATTATCTGATGCCTAATAAGGTGTGATCTCCGAGTGAAGCTTTTCCCACACTTACTGCATTCATAGGGCCTCTCCCCTGTGTGGATTCTCTGATGTTCAGAAAGCACTGATCTGTGACTGAAGCTTTTCCCACACTCACTGCATTCATAGGGCCTCTCCCCTGTGTGGATTCTCTGATGCTGAAAAAGGGCTGAGCTTTGAGTAAAGCTTTTTCCACACTCACTGCATTCGTAGGGCCTCTCCCCTGCATGGATTCTCTGATGCTGAAAAAGGGCTGATATTTGAGTGAAGCTTTTCCCACACTCACTGCATTCGTAGGGCCTCTCCCCTGTGTGGATTCTCTGATGCTGAAAAAGGGCTGATATTTGAGTAAAGCTTTTCCCACACTCACTGCATTCGTAGGGCCTCTCCCCTGTGTGGATTCTCTGATGCTGAGAAAGGCCTGATCTTTGAGGGAAGCTTTTCCCACACTCACTGCATTCATAGGGCCTCTCCCCTGTGTGAATACTCTGATGGCGAAAAAGGCCTGATCTTTGAGTGAAGCTTTTCCCACACTCACTGCATTCATAGGGCCTCTCCCCTGTGTGGATTCTCTGATGTACAGAAAGGGCTGATCTGCAAGTGAAGCTTTTCCCACATTCACTGCATCCATAGGGCCTCTCCCCTGTGTGGATTCTCTGATGTCGAAAAAGGGCTGATCTTCGAGTGAATTTTTTCTCACACTCAGTGTATGTATTTCTCTGCTTTCCCCTGAGGACTTTGTGCTGTGTTGTGGTTTCCTTGAGGTCCTTCTGAGTTCCCCGACAGGAAATAAATTTATCCACTTTCATGCCCGGCTGGTTTCCCTGCTCTCTTTCTGGTCTGTGCTGAATCTCACAAGATTTTCCCTGCTCATGACTCCTGGACACATTCCTTTTCGATCTTTGCAATAATTCTCTGTGTTTATCCACTTGCTTAACATTTTCCTGTTGAGAATTGTGCTCCTCTTCCTCAGATACCAGTGCATCACCTGCTGTGATAGAGACAGAAAGCTCAAACAGGGATGGAAAGGGGAAGACCAAACCAAAACAAGTGCTGGAGAGAGGTCAAATAAAAATCAGGAACTGAACTCCCCCAAACTCTTCCCCCAAATAGAAGAGAGGAGGGGATCAATTTAGCCATCCCATCCCATCCAACTTCGTAGAGGGAAGGGAGGAAGCTGCTGCCTGCTGTCTGCTAGGATCTACAGGAAGCCATGAGCTATATTTACCCGGAGGATACGACGCCTGCTAGGGTCAATAATGAAGTGAAAGACCTCCCAAGGGCTTTGTAGGGCATAGCAGATGTTTCCTTCAGGAACTTACAGATTCTGAGTTGGTTTAATGTTTCCTCACCTGTGCAGACAGCTCTCGGGAGCACTTCTTTCTCAGAGCCCTGGAGGTCTGGGACCCATGGCTCTTCCCCTTGTTCCTGCTGGGAGATCACATGAGGTTGGGAAACTTGACACCCTGCTCAGATGAAAGAAAACAAAGGATGTCAGATGATTTCTTAAGACTTGGTCATAAAAAACATTCTATTAATTTATCTTCAGTGCTTAGTGTGACCTGGTGTGCCTGGGGCCGTCCTCACTGAAAATCCCAAGGTTAGGGCAGGCTGGAAAAGGGAGAGCAGATGCTCCCAAAACTGGTGGTTAACACTGAAGTTAAACTCACCGACCAGTCGCAAACTGTACTTCTGATCACCCACACTTGTTATCGAGAAGCTGAAAAAAGAAATCACACAGCCCCCTTTATTGCATTCCAGTTCTCTGACTCCCAATTAGCACCTAGGTCCAGTACAATGAGAGGTTATTTAAAAACTCATCTCACAAAAAAAATGTTCTTCTGACCCCAAAGGGTCAGCCACATTACCAGGTCACTATAGGTTTGGATCTCACCCAAAATACCACGCTGCAAGCCAATCTTTTAGCATAGGAAAGGATAGGATACGAAGGTCAGATACATTCCATAATCTATATATAGGGTTCTTAGCAGTATTGGTGAGTTGCTGGCATGAAAGTCCATCTGGAACACATCCAGAGCTTGGATGGGTCATTCAGTCCTTTGTTCAAGGCTTCAGTTTGTAGAGAAGTTGCTCCAGAGGTAGGAAGAGGGATTGAAGACAAAATGGAGATGACGCAGCTGCCCTTTATATTCCTTTTGCCATGTGGCTTGTACTTCCTGTGTCCCAAACACAAGCTTCACAGCACATGGCATGGAAAAGCCTTGGAGTTCTCAGCACACAGGCATATCCCTGCATGTCTTGCTGACTCAATAGGTGTATCCCCTTGGTCCTTTCCATGGGTTCATTGTACAGCTGATGACCCTGGATGGGCCATCGAACAGGCTAAGCTGTGCTGATGCCAATATGTCTGGGTGTGTCACCCAGAAACACTGCACAAGTCTGGAAATACAGATATACCCTACATATCTATAACTCACAATACAAAGGTGATACAAACAGAAACAAAATTATCATACTTGGAAAATCATAACATTTTCACTGACACCTAACATGGCATATCTAGCACGATTCATTGCAATTTTATCATATTGGTATTAATCATAAAATAATAATAATATAAAGTTTCTCACAATTCCAGTGTCACACTTAGTAAACCAGAATTCCCAGGACCAGCTCCCTAGGTCTTGAAGATGCCAAACACTCTGCTTATGAGGGATTGAAATACCCATATATCTGCTGGTAACACACATAGACAGACACTGTGTCACTCTGTACCCCTAGGTTCGCTCTTCTAGAAAATTATGATCAATTTTGTACATAGTATGGCTTGTCAGGTATCATTTGAAATCACAATCTATTGAATATTATCCTCCTGTTAAAATGTGTAGCAACATTGTATGTAAAGTTATGAGATTTTAGTGTATGATATTACTGAAAAAGTTTCAATTCAGGAGAACAGCCACAGACCAGTTCCTCAGAGAAAGCAAGGCAAACAGCTGGTCAAATAACCATTCTCCAGCAGTGGGAAGGTGTGAAGAAGACATTTACATTCCATCACAGGGACCACTTGAAGCTCATCTCTACAACAGACAGCCTGTCACCATAACTCAGCTGAGAACTGAGTTGTTTCTAGTACAAAGGACTGAAATATAAAGAGAGGTGAGGAAAACCCTTGAGACTCTCTCTCTTCCCTTTCCCTCTGCTCATGACAACTCCTGAAGAACTGAACTTGAGCAGCAGGGACGGGTTAGGGGGAGTCCTGGCTAAAAGGAAAGCTACCCTGTCTCAGCACATGGTGAGAGAAACATTAGTTTGAATCCATTTTAGCTTGTTAAGTTAGACATTAGTTTGTGTTCTCTCTTGCATTTCTTTTGTAAACAATTCTGACTTTTATGCCTCATTACCCGTAGCCACTTAAACTACTTTTTTCAGTAGTTAACAATTTTGTTTTATTGTTTTATTTAACCCAGGGGCGGGCAAACTTTTTGGCCTGACAGCAGCATCGGGTTTTGGAAATTGTATGGAGGGCCGGTTAGCGGAGGGAGTCGTGGCCCGGAGCCCACTCCCTATCCACCCCCCGGGACTCCTGCCCCATCCAACCCCCCGTTCCCTGACGGCCCCCCTGGGACACCTGCCCCATCCACTCCCCCACTCCCTGTCCCCTGACTGCCCCCCGCTGCCCCATCCAACCCCTCCTCTCATTCCTGATGGTCCCCCCAGGACCCCTGTCCCATCCAGCCACCCCTTCTCCCTGTCCCCTGCCTGCCCCCGGAACCCCTAACTGCCCCCCAATGCCCCATCAAATCCCTCCTCTCATTCTTGACTGCCTCCCCAGAACCTCTGCCCCCATTCAACCCCCCTGTTCCCCACCCTCTGACAGCCCCGACCCCTATCCACCGCCCCTGACCATCCCTTGGACTCCCCTGCCCTCTATTGCCCCCGTTCCCTGCCCCCTTACCGCGCTGCCTGGAGCACCGGTGGCTGGCGGCACTACAACCACGCCGCCCAGCTGGAGACAGCCACACCATCACCATGGCGCAGCAGAGAGCACCGGGTCAGGCCGGGGTCTGCAGCTGCGCTGCCCCAGGAGTTCACAGCCCCACCGCCCAGAGCATTGTGCCAGTGGTGGGGCAAGCTGAGGCTGTGTGGAAGGGGGAACAGCGGGGGAGGGGCCAGAAGCTAGCCTCCGGGGCCAGGAGCTCAGGGGCAGGGCAGGAGGGTCCCATGGGCCAGATATGGCCTGTGGGCTGTAGTTTGCCCAGCTCTGATCTAACCAATGTGTTTGGACTAAAGTGTGTTGGAAACTCCATTTGGGATAACAAGGGCGGGTGCATGTTGTTTTCCACTGATGAAATGACAGACTTCATATGAGCTTGCGTTCTTCAGTAGTGTGCTGAACAATGCAAGATGCACATTTCTGGGAGAAGTCTGGGACCAGAGAATTTTCTGGGGTTCTCCTGTGGGGTACTGTAATTTGTGAGTGGCTGACTAGCAGCACTCAATACTACGTAGCTGGGAGTGTGTTACATGCTGGAGACTGTGTGTTACCTGCCCAGGAGTGGCTGTTCTCACAGTAAAGCAGTGTAAAAGGCACCCCAGCTTGGGGAACTGCGGGGAAACAGCTGTTCAACAGTCCAGATTGTACTGTGGTTAATGTCACAGACACTCAATTTCAAAGAGTCTCCTAAAACACAGAGAAACTAAATCCATGTCCCAGAAATCGAAGACTCCAGACTGAGGGCAAGTCTCCCTGGCACTGCTTCTTGCTGACAGAGAGGTCCAGAAACAATAAGAGAGTCCTGGGGAAGCTGGGAACAGTAAGCATGGGCTGGTGGGTTTCAGTGGAGAAAGGGAATGGAAGGGCAGGAATATCACTGAAAACAGGATCTCAGCAGTACTAGATGTCAGGATAACACATATTGCAGCCCGTTGGAAAACATAATCCCAACTATACATACAAAATTATGGGGTCTATATTAGCTGTTTCCACTCAAGAGAGAGATCTTGGAGTCACTGTGAATAGTTCTCTGAAAACATCCACTCGATGTGCAGCAGCAGTCAAAAAGCGAACAGAATGTTGGGAATCATTACAAAAGGGATAGATAATAATACAAAAAATATCATATTGCCTCTATATAAATCCATGGTACACCCACATCTCGAATACTGCATGCAGATGTGGTCGCCCCATCTCAAAAAAGATATATTGGAATTGGAAAAGGTTCAGAAAAGGGAAAAAAACATTAGGGGTATGGAACAGCTTCTGTATGAGGAGAGATTAAAAAGACTGGGACTTTTCAGCTTGGAAAAGAGATGAACAAGGGGGGATATGAGAGAGGTCTATAAAATCATGACTGGTGTGGAGAAAGTACATAAGGAAGTGTAATTTACTCCTTCTCATAACATAAGGACTAGGAATCACCCAATGAAATTAATAGGCAGCAGGTTTAAAAGAAACAAAAGGAAGTATTTCTTCACACAATGCACAGTCAACCTGTGGAACTCTTTGCCAAAGGATGTTGTGAAGGCCAAGACTATAACAGTGTTCATAAAAAGAACATGATAAATTCATGGAGGATAGGTCCATCAATGACTATTAGCCAGGATGGGCAGGGATGGTGTGTTCCCAGATGATTCGCTGATGTGTGATGAGGGCTGAACTATCAATGAAGCATTTCCCACACTCAGAGCATCCATAAGGTTTCTCACCCGTGTGGATTCGCTGATGTACAGTAAGGGTTGAGCTATAACTGAAGCATGTCCTGCACTCAGAGCACCTGTAGGGCCTCTCTCCTGTGTGGGTTCTCTGATGTGAGATGAGGGATGAACTATGAATGAAGTATTTTCCACACTCAGGGCATCCATAAGGTTTCTCACCTGTGTGGATTTTCCTATGTGTAATAAGTTGTGAGCTCTGATTTATGCATGCTCTGAGTGTGGGAAATGCTTCAGGTTTCTCACCCGTGTGGATTCTCCTATGGGTGAGAAGGTCAGAGCTCCCATTGAAGCTTTTCCCACACTCATGGCATGTGTAGCATTTTCCTTCCAAGTTCATTCTCTCATGTGTAATAAGGTCTGAGTGGCTATTGAAGTTTTCCTCTGGCTTGTACGGAGTCTCATAGGCTTTTGTTTTTTCTGGGAGTGCACAACTCCCGGAACCATTCCTTTTGGATCTTCCTGATAATATCCTATGTGGTTCTACTTGCTCAACATCTTCCTGCTGGGTTTCTCCTCGTTTTCACTCACTGTCCCAACACCTGATGGGAGATAGAGGGAATCCAGACATAGGTCACTGCCTGCACCAGAGAGAAAGGAAATCTCAGAGAGAAGAATGGAAAAAAGGATGAACAAACCAAAATATGTACAGGAGAGATCAAACCTATCAGGAGCTGATTTTCCCTAAAACCTTCCCCAGAGGAGAGAAAGGAAGGGATCAATTCTGGGTCCGTATCTCACCAGAAATC